GGAACAAACCGAAGAGAATGGGCTCAAATCTGTCGTTGTTCCCTTCAAACTGCTACTGGTCCGCAAGATAACCTGCAAGAACTCAACGCCAGAGGGGATGGCTATATCAAAGACAATAACAATTATGAATTAAAGTCTCGTATCTAGCAGTTAAACTATGAATATTTAACGTAGTTGGCCAGACTAAATCAAACATCATAGTTCATAAACATTAAACATAGATAGCATGAATCAACTCATCAACAAAATAAATACAACGTCTCGATTAATCAATGATAAATTCCAATCCTTAAATTCATAGACAAATCAAAGTTAGGGTTCAAACATCCCCTAAAACTGGATAAAAATCTAGCCTATCATAGGAATAAAAATAAATACTAAATAAAAGATAACGGAGAGAAGATAAATATCTCCTTCGTGTGTGGGTGTGGCTTCCCTCCGCGTAGGTGATCTTCTCTCTTTCCCGTGCGTGCTTTTATTTCTGTCTGCTTTTCTGCTCTCGGCTTCTGCGTTCTTTTTCTTCCTTTCGCAAATAATTCCTCTGAAAATAATTCCTAAGACTCCCAAAGATATGTGAGTCCTTTTTTTATTCTCCAATGAAATAATTCTTCCCAGCCTGCTTAGTTGCGTGAGTGCTTATGTTGCCAAATAATAATCATCCAAGTCTCCAACAATTCTTCTCGCGTGGCGACTTCCAGACAATAATTCCACGATAGCCTTTAATTGGGCTTAATTTTGTAAACATCTTCTAAGCATGTGTTTGGACCGTAAATAATCTGGTGTTGGGGTCCAATCTCCCGCGAATACTCATTCAATGCTCCGAATCCACAAAATACTACAATGAGCTGAAAATAAATATAAAAATATCAATGTGTATGAATCCATCCAAATAATGAATAAGTCGAAAAATATAAACGTGCGAATAAATTTAGTATATAAAAGTACACTATTAAATATATAAAATATGTACATTTTTCGACCTATCAACATACTACATTGCAAATCACCAATTGATTAATTTGCAATATACAAATAAATAAATATGAAAAAATATAATAGCATCAGATTAACCAAAAATGTGTGAAATACATACAGTAAATCTTTGTCATTACAAAATAGAATAAATATTATTTGCACACGTTTAAAAATTGCCTTGAACCATATGCAATTTATTGCATTTGTTAAAATATTTTCATATCACATATTTATATAATTGATCTAAAATATTCCCCTATAAATTCAGTGTAGATCGATGTTGTCTATTCATCCTACTTTCGATTTAATTTTTTGTTACACACATACATGATTTAATTCAGTTCAACATGAATTGAGAATTCAGTTTGATCAAGGATGTCATTAGAACTAAAAAAACTACCCATAAAGTTACGTACGATTCGAATAATTGAACACAAATTTGAGTCTAAACATAAAAATTATTTAAAAATCCTATTTCACGATGAGAACTTCTGATAGATCCTACTGGTTATTTCAAAGGGGAGTCGTCAGGATAATTGTGAATTCTGCAATTAGTTCTTCTGGCATATAGGCTGACTGTACTGTGTTGAAGCTTAAAAAAAATATGCGCCTTAAGAGCATTGGTGATTCATATGAATGCGAAGAGCTGACTGGTTTTGCTAATTGGAAAACGAGTATCGGATTTGAAACCGTTGGGAGATCCAATGATGGATATGCCTTGATAGACATACTTCATGATATATTGTTGGAGCCCACTAATAATCCTATCGCATCAATTGTTGATAGCACGTATCCAATGTTTAAGGATGCAACCGATGATCCCAGTTATTTGAAGGATATGGATATACTATCCCCAATATGGAGGTGGTTGAATCTATCAATGAGTACATGGCATCTTTGAACATGAATGATGGTCAAACATACTTGAACTTTGATTGTACGTGCAAATCTTATTCAAATATTTATACCCTCAAGTTTTTTAATACTATGAGAAGTTTTGGAGTGTCGAACCATAAGTTGAATCTTAATATAGGATTTCCAGTCATGTTGTTCTGAAACATACCATTCTATAGGGTTGTGCAATTGTACGAGATTGGTTGTCACAAAGCTCTCAATTCACGTGTTTGAATGTAAGATATTGACTGAATCTAATGTAGAAAAAAAAATATTGATACCTTAGATGACTATAACATCATTTGACGTTAGAGTATCTTTTATTTTTATTTAGATTTCAGTGGAGACAATTTTTTGCTTACAAGACAAAACATGTGGTGTACAAGCAAATTTTTATCAGTATATATTAACTTTTTTTATTCTATTTATTTAATTTGCTTTATTTAGAACTGTCCATGCCGGAATTAATTATTTATTTAAAAAAAAAAATAAGTGGACATAAATAAAAAAAAAATTATGTGGAAAAAAATCAAACACACGTATTCTGAGAATACGGTTTCTAAATAAAAACGTATTACTGGAATACGTTTCTCACATATAAACGCATTCGGCGAATACGTTTTACTAAGAAAACGTAATTAAGATAATTAATCTTAATTAACATAAAGAAAAACGTATGTGGGAAATACGTTTTTCATACGTAAACGTATAAGCGGAATACGTTTTACGTAAACCGTATGCTTGGAATACGTTTTTTTGTTAAAATTTAATTTTGAAACGTATAGGGAAAATACGTTTTTGTGAAAACGTATTTTC